TTTCTTCAAATATATTCTATGATCAACTTTATGTGAGAGTTTCTTTGAGGTGGGGGAGATTTTCAAGTTTATTATAGTTTTACGTATATCAATATAGCTTTTAGGCGTATTGTAGGCTACTACCTGATAGCAAACAATGACCTCTTTGTTGAAACACATTGATCAGGAATTAGTAAACTAATTTGCATATTCAATATAATCAGAAAACATTTGTAATACAGAATTATTGGTGTCTTATTTATACTTGAAAAGATATACGCTAACTATAAAAATGAAATTTTATATACAAAAATTGTAATATTTATATTATGATGAGATGATCGTAATGAAAATCTTAAAAGCCAGAAGAAAAGAAAAGTGTTGAAATGACACCTGTAGGCCACAATATTTCGAATAGTATACTAAAGAATATTGCCGATGGCAAAGCATACTTACCTGGCACAGGAGTGACTTTGATCAAGAAGGAATGTCCTCCCAAGGTGAGGCCTCGGCATTGCACTTGGCTGAGGTTGACCCTTGCGATTCCCCCAAATGTGGGGAACTCGGGTGTATAATTTATGGTAGCGGGGGACTGCGTTCGCGCTAACCCCTAACACGAATTGAAAGATAGAATTAATATGTAAACACTTTATGAAAGAGTATTGGTGTTTTCTTGAACGTGGTGCAGTTTTTGGAAATAACGGTACAAATTATCACCATTATGAACTAGAAAATAGGCCGCTATAGGATATATGCCTGATTTGTATATTTCGCTATCACGTCGAAATGGCATATGTATAATGTTTTTATTATTATATTTTCTACAAATGTATTCTATGACTAACTTTTATGTGAGAGTTTCTTTGGCATGGGGAGATTTTCAAGTTTATTATAATTTTACGTATATTAATAGAGCTTTTAGGCGTATTGTAGGCTACTACCTGATGGCAAACAATTACCACTTTGTTGAAACACATTGATAAGGAATTAGTAAACTAATTTGTATATTCAATATAATCAGAAAACATTTGTAATACAGAATCATTGGTGTTATATTTATACTTGAAAAGATATACGCTTATAAAAAATAAATTTAAAAGATTTAAATACAAAAATTGTATTATTTATTATAAGATGATCGTAATGAAAATTTTAAAAGCCAGAAGAAAAGAAGTGTTGAAATGACACCTGTAGGCCACAGTATTTCTAATATTATACTAAAGAATACTGTCGATGGCCAAGCATACTTACCTGGCACAGGAGTGACTTTGATCAAGAAGGAATGTCCTCCCAAGGTGAGGCCTCGGCATTGCACTTGGCTGAGGTTGACCCTTGCGATTCCCCCAAATGTGGGGAACTCGGGTGTATAATTTATGGTAGTGGGGGACTGCGTTCGCGCTAACCCCTAACACGAATTTAAAGACAGAATTAATATGTAAACACTTTAGAAATAGTATTGCTGTTTGCTTGAATGAGGTTACGCCAGTACAGAAAAACTTACACCGTTATAAACTTGAAACTATAGGATATCTTTGATTTGTATATTTCGCTATTAATGAGAATTGGCCTATATTTTATATCGAATGTTGTTATTTTTTCGTATTTGTATAAAATATAATATTCTATAATGAACTTATAATCGTTAAAAATGTAATTGCTTACTAAAAGTAAGAGTTTCTTCGGGGTGGGGAGATTTTCAAGTTTATTATATTTTTACGTATATCAATATAACTTTTAGGCGTATTGTATACTACTACCTGATGGCAAACAATGACCTCTTTGTTGAAACACATTGATCAGGAATTAGTATACTAATTTGCATATTCAATATAATCAGAAAACATTTGTAATACAGAATTATTGGTGTCTTATTTATACTTGAAAAGATATACGCTATGAAAATGAACCGTTATAAACTTGAAGGATATATAATTGATTTGTACATTTCGCTATTAATGAGAATTGGCCTATATTTTATATCGAATGTTGTTATTTTTTCGCATTTGTATAAAAAATATTCTATAATCAACTTAAAATCGTTAAAAATGTAATTGCTTATTAAAAGTAAGAGTTTCTTCGGGGTGGGGAGATTTTCAAGTTTATTATATTTTTACGTATATGAATATAACTTTTAGGTGTATTGTATACTACTATACCTGATGGCAAGCAATGACCTCTTTGTTGAAACACATTGATCAGGAATTAGTAAACTAATTTGCATATTCAATATAATCAGAAAACATTTGTAATACAGAATTATTGGTGTCTTATTTATACATGAAAAGATATACGCTAACTATGAAAATGAAAATTTTACATACAAAAATTGTAATATTTATATTATGATGATATGATCGTAATGAAAATCTTAAAAGCCCGAAGAAAAGAAAAGTGTTGAAATGACACCTGTAGGCCACAGTATTTCTAATATTATACTAAAGAATATTGTCGATGGCAAAGCATACTTACCTGGCACAGGAGTGACTTTGATCAAGAAGGAATGTCCTCCCAAGGTGAGGCCTTGGCATTGCACTTGGCTGAGGTTGACCCTTGCGATTCCCCCAAATGTGGGGAACTCGGGTGTATAATTTATGGTAGCGGGGGACTGCGTTCGCGCTAACCCCTAACACGAATTTAAAGGTAGAATTGATATGTAAACACTTTACAATTAGTATTTCTGTCTGCTTGAATGAGGTTATGCGGGTACAGAAAAGCTTACACCGTTATAAACTTGAAAATATAGGATATGTTTGATTTGTATATTTCGCTATTAATGAGAATTGGCCTATATTTTATATAGAATGTTGTTTTTTTTTCGTATTTGTATAAAATATATTCTATAATCAACTTATAACCGTTAAAAAAGTAATTGCTTACTAAATGTAAGAGTTTCTTTGTTGTGGGGAGATTTTCAAGTTTATTATAGTTTTACGTATATCAATATAGTTTTTAGGTGTATTGTAGGCTACTACCTGGTGGCAAACAATGACCTCTTTGTTGAAACACATTGATCAGGAATTAGTAAACTAATTTGCATATTAAATATAATCAGAAAACCTTTGTAATACAGAATCATTGATGTTATATTTATACTTGAAAAGATATACGCTTATAAAAACTAACTTTGAAAGATTTAAATACAAAAATTGTATTATTTATTATAATAAGATGATCGTAATG